CCAGTTTTCACCTCACTCTAAAAAATCTCAAGTTTTCATTTAGAATCTCACTGTCTTGGTGCTAGAATAGCTAGAGCAATGAATAAGGACAAAAGAAGAAATTATTTCAAATTACTAACAAACTCATCTGCCAGTTTTTCACAGAAGGAAAAAAGCAGTAATTATCTAATGCATGCAGGATATCTATCCACTCCATACATACAGCAGTATAGCATGCAATGGAAGAAACCTGAATGCTACACGCACAGTAGGTCCAATACGTTCTAGGTGTCATGGAAGTGGCATACATACTCAGCATTTGTGTTTTAAAGCCAGCTTGACTCTGACATTTTCTGAAGCATATTAAACTACATATACAGTTATTCTGAGAATGTACAGGATGCCTGTGGTGTACAGAGCCTGTTGATGGTACACAGATAAGCTGCACAGGATTGTTGCATACCAAACCTGCTAGGCTTGCTGAATATACAGCGTAGGGGAAATCTGTAGTTGCAAGGTGCCTTTTGTCTAATAGTCCTGGTCCCGTGTGAAAAATCAACAGATATTACTGAGCTTTTGCTTTCAGAGGAAGCTTAATTTACAAAAATATTAGTGCCAAAATTCTTCTAGTTGGCAAGAATGCAGTACCTCCTGAACATGTACATTATATAAGCTTACCTGTTCCGGTTTGTGTTGCTGCACAGAGTTATATATGTAACTTAGACCAGCTCTTGTTAGCACATAGGAAGCTTGTTCATTTATGAGTGTATCTAAATGAGCTTCAATCTGAAATATTAAGCATAAGGTATTTGTAAAATATGCATAAGAATATTAACTAGAACAAGCTCTGGGGTTAAAAGGTGCAGACACACAAATAAGAAGAAAAGACACGACTGAAAAGGAGAGTGATCAACAAACAAGGAAAACCCACAAATACATACAGTATAATAATTTTATCCATCTACATCTTCAATATTACAAGGAGCCAATAACAAAAATATAGGTAATTCTTTCATGTCTGACTAACAGAAGAACCTATTTTATTTTGTATTTCTAAATTCAACAGCACCAAAAATTAAGAATACCAAAGCTCTAATCTTACAAAATAATTTTATTTTGCTATAGTTCTTTGAAAATATGTGATAAAAACCATCCGACTCTTATTGAAAATATTGATAATAGCATGGCAGTTTTATAATAAACAAGAGAAAGAGGCAGTCTTTCACAAGGAAAATAAAACTGAAACTAAATCATAATCAGTAATGATTTTAAATTCAGTAACAATAAACATGTATTTAAAAAAAGTTAACTGAAATAACAATAGACAATGAAATTAAAGCTATCGATTTTGCTTCAATTATCTTCATATGAAAAAAGTCATAAATATATTTTACATTCTTAGTATAATCTTCACTTTGCAGAGAAACCTAATCAATAAATCCAGTCACAACAGCAGCAATCATTTTTTAGTTTGAGTAGTCTTGGAAAGATATTTGGGTATATATCCATTACTACTTCATTTTTACAGATAGCTACCCCACATTTCATTTATTTTTCTTCCAATCCTAAAGAAAAGCAAGAATTTATAATATATCAAACTCCAGCAAAATCCAAGACCTCCATGTCTGATATTTGAAGAGTTCACCTTTTTACTTCCTAAAATTGTTTAGAAAAACCACACTTTTCTTTTTAAATCAGGAGGGAAATCTTAATATTTCAATTTGGAGATTTTATCTGTCTTAGAGAGTTCTTTTTTTCCTATGAAAAATGTTTCTCTTATTAAATATGCCATTCTAACTCCACTTTAATAACCTACTTATGTATAATCTTAAAGATATTTTTTCAGTCTCTTCCTCTATTTGTAAAACGTTTGAAGAAAGTAAATGGTATTAAATGCATAACCTTCAGTTCTACTGCTGATTTGAAGAATAAATCAACGGCAACATTTACTGTGAAAAAGAAACTCTGATAATGGAAATCAGAAATGCCCCAGACAGTTTGGTGGGGTTGTCTGTCTGTTTGTTTCAGAGCTAAAAGGTGCTAGAAATTCTAATTAGGAGTAGAAAGCGAAAAATGTCTCACAGCCAATCTTTACTGATGCCTTCAAATAAGAAGTTGTGATCTTTTTCTAAGCCCCCCAGCTCAAAAAGCTCTCCTGAGATATATTGCAGAGATGTTCATGCAGCAAAACTATAAATGGTCAGTGCCTAAGTTTTCCCAAGTCAATGGTTTATAAACTACATTTCCGTTTCAAAATGATACCACAGATTAACTACTACCCTGGCACGTTAGGTGAAACCAAACAAATGAGAAAAGAAAGGCAGAAAGGAGGACTGAAGTAGTAACTTCAGCTATACTATATTCTAGTATAAACTAGATGATGATCTAGTATTAACTACATATAGTCAGCCATGTGACTGAGCTTTCAACTTCCATTTGCTTCTTCTCACACAGTTTGCAGATAAATACTAGAATGTTCAAAAATGTTCACTGATATGGGTTTATCTGCAACTAAACCACACCAAAACAAATCTTCTAATAACTTTTTTGCTTGTTAAAATGAAAGATGCTGTGTACCATAAGCTCTGATACCTGCTATTTGCTTGTGGTCTCTGATAAGAAGCCCTCTTATCCCATTTCCCTGATTTAGAATTGACCCAAAGCCAACATTATCAAAGATAAACACATTCACATCACAACTTACAGTCTGCAAAAATCAGTAATAACTTCCATTTCCTTTTGGGGCTGTTAAAGCTTACCTGAAACTGTAACATTTCTAGACGTTTGTCAGTGAATTCAAAGAGAGCCAAAGTAGTCTTCATCATATAAAGCGAATTTACCATGAAGGTTGCCATATCAGCTGTGCCCAAATTACTAGCAGACATAGTACACATCTGTAACAATGGATCTAACACACAAGAAAGAACCTAGAATAGCAAACACACAGAAAAGAGGGAGGGGAGGGAGGAAATCATGTCACACAAGGCTTCTAAGTTCATTCTGTCTCTATCATGTATTTATTCCCCAAAGCAGAATAAAGAGAAATGAGAGTTTCCAACTGTGAAAGCAGTTTTCTACTGGATTTGTCAGCAGGTGATCAGCTACCATAGTGATGGAAAAAGTATAAAAACCTGAGAAGAACAGATTCCAACCTAGCAGGAGGAAGAGTAACCCAGATTAGATAATTGGTAATTGTGCAATCTTGAGGGTGTATTTACTTAATGGAGTAGTAATTGGATAACAGAATTTAGATACTGCGTTAAGAGTAGCACTCCATACTGTACCGTAATTATCCACTTTGTTAGTCATTCTCTTATTCACATTACAAACTCGGATTTGGTAGAAAGCTCCAAAACGGGACCAGACAAAAAAGATTAATGTTTCACCCATCTTTTGTGTACCAAGGCTAACTTACACATACTTTTCTTTTTCCCCTCCTCTTCACAGCAGTCAAACATTCTCATACCTGCACAAAGTCAGCTTGACGGGCATCGAGTGGAACAACAGATGAGTCATGAGATGCCAGAACCTCCCGTAGCAAGTTAAGTGTCTGATTTAGTGCAGAGCTGGGGCCAAGATCGGGAGGTGGGAGTTCAACCTGAAGAACAACATTATCTGTTTGTGGGCTTTTTTTTATTTTCATTTACAGCAAACACCATCCAATCTGTTAGCACAAATGCAACCAGATAATAATAAAATTACATGTAGCCATGCAGAGAAGAACTCTAATTTGACACTGGACAAATCTAGCCTGTTTCAAACACTTGCCTGCAACTTTCAGCATAACCATCCCATTCACTGACAGGCAAAACTGAATTTCTCCTTTCATTCAGACTATGCCTATTTTATAATCTAGAGAAACCTAGAAACCACTACCGTTTTTGGTAGTAAAAAAAATACCTTTGCTAAGTTAAGTGCCAAAGAATAGCCACACTGTTGGCACCACTGAATTCACTTTGAGCAGGACCTCTCGTAAACACTCCAGAAGCTAGTGCAGGCAATGCTCTGGGATATTAGGGTCATACTGCAGCAGCTGAATGAAGTCATCTTCTTGACAAGGCTGCACAGCCCCTATCATGCTGAGTATGAGAGCTGCATTCAGATGCAACAGTCTTAATCCCTAACAAGTCTGTATCTTAAATTACTAGTACACAAATTAAATCTGCGCAAGCTAATTCAAGTACACCTACATAAACTACAATGATACTGCAAGAACTGGAATGCAGGCCTACCTCAAAGATGAGAAGTAGGAATCGCAGGTGTTTAAAAAAAAAAGAAAAGTTTGTAAATCCTGGACAAAAACCCCATACTTTCTGAGTCAAATTATGAAAAGTTGAAGCACCTGAAATGGACTGAAATTCTATGCTATTTTTAACACAGGCTCACATACTTTAGCCCTTCTTTTTAACAGGCAAATACCCATTAAACACTTTATAAAATGTTTATATAATATGCAACTTAGCACGTCTCTTTTTCCCAATCCACATTCCTCGGGTTCTACTCCAAACGTAGTTGCATCTTCTTGTCTTCAATGATGCCTCAAACCGGCCTCCTGCTGCCTCCAGACCCTTCCTACAACCCAGGCTGCTGGCCTCGTTTCCTTCTGCCAACAATCCTCTTTCCATCTTCCTGTCTCCTGCCTATCCAAGGGCAAACCCGGATCTGGCTGGATCACATGGGAGTAAGGAGACCCCCAGCAATACAGAATAAGCTAACACTTCAAGGCATAATTTTTTTTCCAGAAGGGTGTAGGGAGAACTAAGTTTGGCCCGGACTGGCCTGTGCATCTCACTCAAGCAGTTTGGGCACAGCGGAGCAAGGCAGCATGCACTTCTACAACACTCTTAAGACTCCAGCACAACAAGAAAGGAAGGCAGCTTTGGATGGACCCCCAAGCCACAGGCTACATGTTCCTTCCCAAATGAGAACTACTGATTAATAGCATAACAACATGGATGTCTGAGTCTTCAAGGAAGAAAAAAAAAATCAAAGGGGAAGAGGCTGATGGCCAAAGAAACCAAGGAGGAGACCATAACAGGCATTTTCAGAGTGGAGCATTACAGAGCCTTCTGAAAATGAATCTGTACCTAATGAACATGCCACCAGAGAAAGAAGAAACAAGCTCCCTTTGGAGCCAGGCCTAGCTTTCACATTTGGTGTGTTTCAAAACATTTGAGATACCGTACATGTCCCCACACAGTTACCAAGACAGCTCAAACAAAAACTTTTTTGCATCTTTCTGAATACAAAGTGTTCCTCTATTCTCACTTTCCAAGAGATAGTATACTGAATTCGAGGAACTAATGGAAAACTAAATCCAATAGGTTCAGAGAACAGTTGTTGTTCAGCCTAAGCAGTCTTGAAAGCATAAAACAAATATTCTAGCATTGAAGTAACAGTAATTCAGAAAGAGGCACTTATTCAGTGCTGATTAGTAGTAAAGTTTACTGAAATTTACAGCACTGAGTGACTTTCTTCTTGTTTATTCTTGTTATTATTAGGGGTATTGATTGTGCCCTGAACAGACTGTTCTCAGACCTGAACTGGACCGTGTTCAGGGATATTTTGGCATTAATTTGAGACTTGAGTTTGATGGAGTTTTCACTTCCACCACACACATACATCACGGCAATGATAATTTCCAGCTTCTTTGCACAGAATTTTTGTCTCCTGAAGTAGCTGATGGTCAGAAGCTTCTAAATTAGCTTCATCTTTCATTTAATCTGTTCTTTTGAAGTGCATTGTCTTCTAGATGGGAGCAAGGAACAACATTACGGAAGAAGAAAATACAGCAAGGAAAAAAGGTTTAGATCATTAGATTCTGTTTGGGTTAGCTTGAAATTCCTGACTACTGCAATACAGGCAGAAGTAACAGTGAGTGGAAGGATAATTAAAGCAGTGTTATATTCATTTTGAAAATTCTAACTTCTTGCGCATTAATATATATTGGAATTTTTTTCAGAAGTAAAAAGGAAAATTTAAAACCAGACGTACCTAATTTATAGAGGAACCTACCAACTTGAATTTGTGAGATAAATTGCTATTCTAATAAAAAAAAACCCTGATGCCCTGAATGTTCCACATGCATTAGAAGATTATTATAATTGATCCTATTTCCAGAAAAATAGATTTGAAATGCATGCTGAATTCTACTTTTGAAGTACCTGCTTCAGATGCAAGCCAGACAGAAGCTAACTAAAAAATTATCAGAGAAGTTCTGTAGCAGCTAGTTCAACAGCATTAAAACATACTCTAACACAGTATTAAGTGTCCGATCAGTTATAACCAGCAGTTCAGTCATGCAGAAACAAGGCCACGCAGCTGTTCAGCCTTGCAAAGAAAACAAGAAGAAATTCCTAATTTTTAAAATCCAATATACAAAACTGAAACAAATTCTCTTAAAATTACAATGGAGACTAGAAGTTGTACATGAGGTTTAGTGAAAAAAAGGTTGTATCTTCATTTAAAGTTCAATCAATGGGGAATAGTTACTAAGCCAGTAATCTTCCTCCAAATATACAATCCAGAGCAGGCTTTTCTGTCTACAAGAGCAAGTAGCTCAAAGGATGTCTTGAAGAATTTAACAAACAGCAAAGGAAAATACAGAAAAAAGAAAAGGCAGTATCAAGAATCAAGAAGAGAGTGCATGTATGTTAATTGCTTCCCTTTCTCATTTACAAAGAAGGTTAAATGGAAAAAAAATATGTGCAATTTTTGTTCCTATTAAATACAGTTAATTCTATTAAAGACTGGAGCAACCATTAAGGAGAGCAGCTTTGTTAGAAGCTCGTAAGTGCACCTGCAAATACTGAAAATACTATATACGCAAGCAATCAAAACTATTTATATACTTTCCTACTTGAACATTAGAAAGTTAACAGTATAGAAAGAGATGGACATACTGGAATGAGTCAAGCAAAGGGCCACAAAGTTCAGGCAGGGACTGGAGTGTCTCCTACACAAGGAGAGGCTGTGTTCAGTCTGGAGAAGAGAAGGCTCAGGGGGATGTTCTCAGTATGCATAAATATGTTATGGGAGGAATAAAGAAGAGGGACCCAGACTCTTCTCAATGGTGACAGGTCAAGAGGCAATGGGCACAGACTGAAACACAGGAAAACAATTTTTTACTATGAGGTTGGTCAAACTCTGGAGACAGTTGCACAGTGAGGTTGTGCAGTCTCCATCTTTGGAGACATTAAAAACTGAACTATAACCATTCCTAGGAAACCTGCTCTAGCTGACGCTCTTTGAGCAAGATGGTTGGACTAAACGATCTCTAGAGGTTTCTGCTGAACACATGCATTCTGCAATGCTGTGACACTAGTATTAAATAAAACAAGAAGGTAATTTTAAACACAGAACTCCTTGGAGAAAGCACTGCTTGGAGTGACAAACAAAAGGTTGGTGGCTTTTTTAAGGGCCTAATCAGCTTTTAATACAGTCTTTTAAAAACCTCACTGGCAGGGGGTGGAAATAAAAGACTACAGACATGGAACCTTGTAAAAAGGTATCTGGATGTTTCATCTTGTCAGTTACAACTGATTAGCATCAACTACAGAAGTTCATTCTACAAATTGAGACAATATTCACCATAGTTAAACAGCACCAGTCTAAGAAACTTGAGTGCACATCTACCAGGGAAGCTTCAGAGAAGCTGTCCTAAGCTCTTTTGAGCCCTATTAGGATCCTACAGAGATCACCAAAGTAGAATGCCTAATGGCATGCTTTTCTTTTCAGCTATGAAGTTGGTCTTGGAAGAAAAGACAACAGAAATATTTTTGCTAGCTTTGTTTTGTTCACGTGGATCCATTCAAAACCACAACATCATTCAGATCACAACATCAACCAGTCTCATTTAATGTGCCCCACATCTGGTTTCCCAGAAACCTAACAGGTTTCATTCTGACAGGAACCAAATTATGAGGGAGAGTTTACAGTTATTCCCATGCAATGTTTTAAAACCTCTCCCACTGACAAATAACAGATAATGCAATCGCAGCATTACTGTAAAAAGAACACCTACTCTAAAAAGAACAGCATTAAGGAATAACAATCCCAAAACTTGATTTGGGGTACTCTACTAATAGTCTTCTAGCAGCTCAGACAGCAGATGACAGGTTAGTTTGGCATAATCTCTCTTTAGTACCCTTATGATAACTCTCATTCCATTTAATTCAATGTTTGCAATTATTCTTTCCTTTAATTATTGTTCTGGAGTATTACTGCAGCCAGAGTAAGGACAGGTGTGCTTGAAAATTCCCACTCTGCTACTGTATTAGCTGGTCCAATAAAACATGCTGGAATAGGTTAGTCAAACAGGCTTGTTAAAATGCCTCACCAGTGGACTCATGATTTTATATGACAATTCTCTCAATATGAGAGAACTGAAAAGAGCAGTCCATCCACTCCAATGCATTAGGCGCTCCTAACTTTGCTTCCAGTTTAATTGGAATGGTTTCTGTTGTTCTGGTAATTATCTTAATTTAGTATTTTCTCCCGGATTTATCATCATCTGTAAAACGGTAACCTGTACCTGGCTGTTCTTAGTTAGATCCAAACAGTGAGTGACACAAGCAGAATCCCAAATCCCTAAATATT